GGCAGCATTGATATATCCTTCTCGGCCATTGAGCTCAAGAATAAAATGGCGGCTGAAAGTTGTAGTTGGTGGTCATTGTAGTAGTTAAATATACGCTTGATTATCACCAAAGCTTCTTCTGTTTAGGTCTTTCTTATGTTTAACTAACCTAAAACAGTACAAGCAGTATAGCAACGACTCTACTGGTTGATGCATGTCTACCATTACACGATATATGCATGTGCTGTGTGATTTACTTCTTGCTGCTTAGTACACCATCTTTCCAGTGTCTAGACGCCATCAACGTCAATTATCTCTCACTATCCCTTAAACACTCAACCAGATTGTATGTGCACACTGTCTCACACACACACACACACACACACACACACACTCACACACTCGGGCCATTACCCAATTAAACACAAAGACATTACGGAGATGGGTGGGACACTTATTTGGGGAGAGTTGTGCACACAATGCAGTGACAACACATGCTGATACTGAAAATGTGTTTGTCTGTTTGTCACTGTTTGGTGTGCATTTGTGAGTGTTTTTGGCTTATGTTCTGGGATAAAGAGAGTGTGTGTTGTTGCCTCTGTGTGCTCGAGATGTGCAGTGTTAGATGCAAAGCTTTAAATCTTCTTACTTGTACAGCAAGGCAAAGCCTGGCCATGCAAGAAACACACGCACTTGCATATGGGCGATTACACCAGTCACTCTCATTCAGATTCCCACACACAGGTTATATTTGTAGCTTTTAGTTTCTGTTAGCGTTGAGGTCATCTGTATTCTGGTGTACTCCTAATAGTCGATGAAATTAACGTTAAATAGATATATGCAATACAATTATGCAGTCTCTCATTCTGGAGAACAGAGCAAAAGTACTGATGACATCATCTTGGACCCGCAGGTGTATTGCTTTAAAAGAATACACAGAAGTGCAAAGTGAATATAATGTTTTCAAGCACATAAATGCATGTTATTTACAATAGACCTTTTTTCACATTTCCGAGTTTAAATCTAAAAACCTTTCGAGGATTTACAATGCTGCTGACCGTTGAAACGCGTCATCACAGTCTTGTGAAAAGAGTCCATAAAACGAAAATGTATTAAAGTTTAATTTTATATTAAATCAAATTAACTGAATTTTAGTGTGTTTTTGACCCACTTAAGTAGGACTTAAGTATATTCTATGTGTAATTTTATAATTATATTTCCTTTGAAATATGGATAACGTGTATTGTTGGATGTACTGACAAAATGATAAACTAAAATATACTTTAATATAATTTCTATTGAAACTTGTATGTCATATTTTTAAATATATTTGTAATTACACATTTGTAATGATAAAGTTAGTCCATTGAAAATACAACTTTAAATGTAATATCAACAGTTAAAATTATAATCAATTCCTATACAAGTGCTTTAGTATTTTAGTCCACACATCAAAATAAGTGTACTTCTTTAAAGTACAACAAATAATAATAATAAAAAAAAATATTGAAATTGTACTTTAAAGTAAAACTTTTAATTTGACATTATTACAAAGTGCACTTTTTAAAAGTGTACTTAAGTGTGTTAAAACAGAAAGCAAACTCTTTAGAAAGTGAACTCTTTTAGCACACTTAAGTAGCCATTAATATTATATTATCTGCAAGCACAGTTTTTATACTTGTAAGATTTGAAATACACTACAATTGTGCATTCATTACAACCAAAACAAGGTATGCAGGTTTTTGTCCAATTAAATGCTCTTTTTCCAATACTACTAATACCACATGTGTACAGGCTTATCAGCCTGAAATATACAATTTATTAATTCATGTCAGATTTTATTGCCGATTTGAAATGTTATAGAAATGTGAGTTTGGCAAGTATGTTTTGAGATTTTGATATTTCCCCATTCAGCTAGATACATCCATGACGAAAAATAGATGGCAGAGTGCGTTTCCAAGATGGCCGCGAGTGAACCGCTGACTCTAGCGTTTGCATTCAAGTACTTGCGTTTTGTACCTAACTGTACTCTCTGTCTGTCTGCAGCCCATGATGAAGCAGTCGCCGTGGGGCAGCCATCAGGGCAGCGGCTGGACCTCTGGAGGGGTGTCCTGGGGCAGAGACCACCGGCGCGGGGGCGGCATGGGTGTGCCCGGCTCAGTCAACCAGATCTCTCCCATGAAGAAACCCTTCTCCAGTAACGTCATCGCTCCGCCCAAGTTTCCCCGCTCCGCCGGCTCTCTGGGACCTAAATCCTGGATTGAAGAAAACATGTTCCGTACCGACAACAACAGCAACACTCTGCTGCCGCTGCAGGTATGTATGTGTGCTGGGATGAGCATCGAAGTACTCCTGCAGGGGTGGGCGGCCCATGCAGTGGGCTCCGTCCATGCTATAATTTAATTGCTGGTCAGTATGCATCTGCAGCAGACGTATTGTGTTTGTACGCCCGGTACGCCTCTCTGTTGATCAAGAGTACGTTCAGGACCTTCTGCAGGATCATGACTCACAATGAGTTCATCAAGGGTTTTGGTGGTTTCATCCTGAAGGAACCTGTCCTCTCCCTTTATTGTTGTTTGGCTCGGGCGGATTCTCACAGACTGAACTCAGTTCTGGACAAAAATAAGCCTTCCAGTAGAGCACTGCTATCGTCAGTGTTTGTTTAGTCTAGGCTTAGAGAAATTAGCCCGTCTAGTGTCAGTGTGCTTTTTGGCTAAATCAATTCAATCTGTTTCATTTCCTGCTTGCTGTTAGATGTGCCACCTGGGACTATGAAATGCACATTAATCTCACAGAATCTCAAGCGCAATCTCATGCTCGTATGGCCATCAACCTGTGTTTATTGATTTTCTCCTGGCACTGGGACTGGGAGGTAAATATTGTCTCTGAAATGGGTGTACAAAGATATAAAAATGTATATATACAGTACCGTTCAAAAGTTTGGGGTAGGTGCAGTTTTCTTTCTTTTTTTTTTTTTGAAAGAAAATAATACTTCTGTTCGGCAAGGGTGCATTAATTTGATCAAAAGTGACAAGATATTTATAGTACAAAATATTTCTATCGCAGATAAGTGCTGTTCTTTTGAACTTTCATCAATCTTTCATTCTATCAACTTTCATCAAATATTGCTAATCTATATAAATGAAAGTTGATAGAATTAAAGGTATAATATCACATTTTTCAACATAGATCATAATTAGAAATGTTTTTTTGAGCAGCAAATCAATATTAGAATGATTTCTGAAGAATCATGTGACACTGAAGACTGCAGTAATGATGCTGAAAATTCAGCTTTGATCACAGGAATAAATTACATTTTTAAATATATTAAAATAGAAAACAACTATTTTAAATTGTAATAATACTTCACAATATTACTGTTTTACTGTATTTTTGATCAAATAAATGCAGCCTTGCTGAGCGGAAGACACTTCTTTCACAAACATGACTATATTCCCAACTCCAAAATTTTGAACGGTACTGTATATATTGTATAGAAGGTACCAATCATTTCAACCAAACTACTGTAATAAAAAAATACCGTTTTTAAAAATTGTAATGCAAGAAGTAAAGTAAAATATAATAAAACTCAGGAAATAATCCAGGAATGTTTTTTACATGTAAATCGCCACACTTCTGTGAACATTTTTGAGTGATGGTGGCAACGAACCATTCAGCTCTTCTGAAGTGATTATTTAACACAACAGTTTGAGCCATTTTTGCTACTAAAATGTAAATTAAAAAAGCCAAGAACAAATACTTTAAGTGCAAGATGTACAACATGTGAGTACAAGATCATCAGTACTTGATATTCACAATGTTTTATGTTACAAAAAAAAAAGAAAAAAAAAAGGTTGCAAATATATATAAATGTTCAGTATATTGTCCAGCCCTACTTAATACTTCAAGAATTTTAGATCATGAGAATACCAAAGTTTCTCACTTTCAGCTTGGAAGAAACTGTGAGGGTGTGAGAGGCTGACAAGGAGAGAAAAGGAGGCGAGAGTAACACATTTTTGTCATGTTGCCCCATTGTTTTGTAGATGGAATGAAACAGCAGGTCATGTACATGTGAATCACTGAAGTGTATGAGGAAACGCCCCGCCTGTGGCACCTGTAGCTGGGTGTTCATCCTCTCACTTTGGCTTTAAACCTCCACTGCTAATGTTAACTTTTCAAGTTATACTGCGTCCCAAATGACGCACTATACACTATGCATGTGTCATGTACACTATGTACTTGCACACTATACACTCAACCATGTAGTGTATAGATTTTATAAGGTTATTTTGTCATTAATAATCGGAGTCTGATAGCCCCTCCCCCTTCACGACGTAATTAAAGCTGCGACAGTTGAGTGCATGAAGCGTCAAACATTCCACACTTCGTTTTTTTCGGTTATTTAAGTGCATCATCCGGGTATTTGAAGTGTACTTATTCTTTTTGGAATTTTCAGTGTGAACGCACTACTCGCACTATTTATACTACAAAACGTCATAGAATAGTGCATAAGTACGCGATTCGGGATGCACCTTTAGTATCAACATGGTACCATATACTGGTATTTTAGCCATCCTTACTCTCAACTGTCGGCTAATGTTATTGAGGCCCTGTGTGCTAATGGCTGTAGATCGTCATATGTGCTGTTGTATTAAACCAGTTTTGTTTTGACATATTTAAAGTGCCTTTCTGTCGTCAAGAGCTGTGGTTGGTAATATTGGTATGGTCTAATGACTCAGGATTCATTGTTCATTTGTACTTAATTTCGGACCAGATGAGTGTTTGACACGTCACAGCTAATTCCTTTAATGCCGAGCCTAACAGAACTGAAATGAGGAACCTGATATGAATGCTGTCTGGCCTTCATCACTTTCTTTTTTTTCTCCCCTATCAGGAAACAGGTCCAACTCTACTAGTATCTACGGTATTGTTCATTTCCATAAACAGGGTGCCGTTTGGAATTCCTCACATTCCACAGCCTCTCCTCTCTCCTCTCCTTCCTTCTCCACGATTGCTCTGCGTTCCAGAGATCAAACGCGTCATGTTCTGAAAAGACAGATGTAAACGGAGGAAGGAGGAAAGGATAGAGATACAATGTTGTTACAAAGAGTTTGTTCGATTTCACAGGAAATGTTTTGAAGTTTGAAATTTGAATGTAGGTGACAGAGTTGTAGTCGAGATGAGTTTGAATCAATACCGAGACCAGGGTCGAACATGCTCCCGAGTCCATGGAAACATGGAGACTGAGTCCAAGACCATTTTTCCATATATAATTTAGGAACATGTGGTCTCAGTCTTGAACCAGACTCAAATAAGCTGCTTTCGACTACAGACATGACAAATTATTTGAAATGGAGGCAGGAGAATAGGAAAAACAGGTTATAAAAAGGTGATTATAAAGAGTCCATAAACGTTTTTCATAAACATTTCGAATTTGGTATTGCATGGTAGCTTGAAACCCAAACTCTTGGATCATGAGTCTTCGGGCCTCGTGTTCTTCGCTGGAGAACTGAAGCGCTTTTCTAGACACTATTTCTGGTAATGTTGCTAAAACTATATTTAGCTTCTTGCAGCCTCGCGCTGTCTGTAAGCTCCACTGTGAGGGCCTGTGAATAGGACTGGATGCTGAAAGCGGCACAGCAATGATATAAGCTCTTGCTTTTTAAAAGCTGCTCTACCTGTGGGAGGCAGATGGCCGTGACAGGGCCAATTGGAAGCAGCTGCATGTGACGCGGTAAACACTGTGCGATTTCCAAACCGCGTCCATCATAAATATACACTAATGTGTCAGTCAGTGTATCTGCAGCAGATATTATATGAGGAAGAAACAATTAGAATTAAGAATTTGCTCCCATGACTTGATTATACAGTATTATAGCCATATTATACTAACTTGTTCTCTCGTTTTAGTCAAATTGTTGCCACATATTAATTTGTTCCCCTATTTTAATTTAGTTTAGTTGTGGTCCTGTTAAACTGACCAGTGCACTTTAGCATCTTGTCTTACAAAGGTTTTCTCAGCAGTGATGCCATAGAACAATTTTTGGTTCCTCAAAGAATCCTTCAGTCAACAGTTCTTAAGAGAAACCTTTTTTTTCTTAGTGAAAGAACATTTTAATAATCTAGGGCCGGATTCACAAAACATTCTTAAGAATATTCTTATCTTTTTTCTTAAGATTTTTCTAATGACAAAACTTAAAGGGGTCATATGATGCGATTTCATTTTTTCCTTTCTCTTTGGAGTGTTACAAGCTCTTGGTGCATAAAGAAGATCTGTAAAGTTGCAAAGACTAAAGTCTCAAATCCAAAGAGATATTCTTTATCAAAGTTAAGAGTCAGCCACACCTACCTAAAACGGCTCGT